GGAGAGAGGAGGCCTCCTTCTCAGAGTCCACCACCTCTTTCCAGCTCACCCAAGGCCCCAGAGAGGTCTTGACCATCAGGTCTGACCCATCTTCTCCTCTTTGCTCTGAGCTAGGTCTTAAATATGCTCAGAATTGCCCGCCCACTCACTCGAGCCCCTTGCTGTGCTTTGTGGTTCCTTGTCCCTAATCGTGCTGGACCAAGCGCTTTGTTACCCTCAGCAATCACCTTGGTTCCTGCCTTTGGGCTTTTGCCTTGCCTAAGCTGTGCCCTCAGACTGGACCTTCCTTATTGCTGCCCACAACAATAATTCAGGTTTAACTTCTGTTTTTCTTGAGGTCGCACCAGCAACCACGCCTTCTGGGGGACCCTCTGCTAACTGCTGACTGCAGTTTCCATCCGCCGCCCCACCCATTCCCTCTCTCCTGAGTCTTCGGTGTTCACGCCCCTACCCTCCACTCCCAGTCACACACCATCACCCTGGATTGGGACAGTCTGCGGCTGGGTCTGATTCCTCAGTCAGACCGTGAGCTCCGTGGGCAAGGGCAAATATGGGGGTCTAATTCACCTTGAGTTCTAGTGCCTGGGAGGCGAGGAGCACTGCGCAAGAGGAGGGGTGAGGGTTGCGGGTGGTGGGGGGCGTTGGGAGAGCCGAGAGGGGTGGGTGGGAATGCAGCCCCTGGTTGAGAAAGGTGCAGAGAGGAGAGGAAAGAGGGAACACACCCATCCAGAAAGGAAGAAAAACAGAAAGAAAAAAAAAGCAAAAATCTTTTCTGGCAAAAGGCTGAAGATGTAGAGACAAGGAAAGGGAGAAAAAATAGGAGGCCAGCAAAAAAAAAAAAAAAGACACGGGGAGGGTGGTCCGACAAGAAGAGGAAGGAGACATAGACTCGGAAAGGAAGGAGAGATGGAGGAAACCGAGGAGAAGAAAGCTGCAGTCCGAGCGAGCAGTAGCCAAGGAGGAGGAGGAGGAAGCTAGCCTGCCTCCACGGCCTCCCGGCCTCTTTTGTCCCTTCCCTTCTCCCTGCGTCACGCTCCCCTAGCCCGGCCTCCCCTCCCGCTCCCTCCTCCGCCCTGCTCCTCCTCCCTAGGGCTGGATGGAATTTTTTCCCCTGGACCCGGGCCAGCTTCATGGGAGGGGGGTGGGGGAAAGCCAGGCCGGACTGGGCTGGGCGGTGGGGAGGGGCCGGGCAGCGGCCCCCCGGGGAGGGGGCCGGTCCGAGGCCATGCTGCCTGCGGGGTCTAGGGCGGGGGGAACCCGGGCGCGCAGTGCCGGGAGGAGGCACCGGCCAGAGGCAGCGGGCGACAGGGGCGGGGGATGGCGGGGCTGGCCGGAGGAAAAGGGAGAGGCCGCGGGCGGCTGAGGTGGGTGAAGATGGAGAACCTGGGGCTAGGGCTGGAGGAGGACACTGGCTCCCCTCGACGCTGGAGCCGCTGAGCGGTGAGTCTGCGGAACCAACGGGGATGGGACCTGAGCCGGACTCCAGGGTCCCCAAGGGAGGAGGCAGCCAGACTGGGCCTGGATTTCTTGGTTCTGGCTTGGATGGCGGAGAAGTGATGGTGGCGGTTGTGGTTGCGGGGTGGGGGTAGCGAGCTGGAAGTCCAGACTTAAGAATTTTGATGGAGGGAGCTGGAGATCTAGATTCTGGGGTCCTCGGGTTTCAGAAGCTGGGAGGATCTCTTAGATTCTAGAGGATCCCAGAGTGTAAGGGACAACAGGGGAGGTGGAGGAAAACTGTCTGGCTTTGGCGGTGCCTCCAGCGGCCCAAGGGTTAACGTCTGGCTAGGAGGGAGGGGGAGGGGCAGAGATGGGGCTGCGGGGCTCTGCGGGGTCAAGGGTGAGCCGTGTGAGTGGGAGGGTGCCTGGAGGAGGGGGAGGTTGTCTGGGCAGCCAGACGGGCCCGGGTCAGCTCCGGGGGCAGGGGATGTCTGGTAATGGAGAGGCCCAGCGTCCAGGTTCCCTTGAGGACCCGGGATTCCAGGCTTCAGCCTCCTCCTCCTTCCGAGTCCGCCTTCCAGGCCGTTGCCCAAATTCCACAATCAGAAGTGTTAGCTGCACTCTGCCCAGGACCCAGGAGTCTGGGCCACCCAGCAGCTGCTTTCCTCTGATCAAGGAGTCCACTCTCCAGTCACCACCTCCTGCCCAGAAGCAGAATCCACCCCCAATCCCTTCCTCCTTCAGAACCTGAATCAAGGCCCGAGGTATTTTTCTTCTTAGCTACCAGGACAGGGGCACAGGTGTGTGTGTTGGGGCCGCGGTGGCGGGGGGGATGGGAGGGAGGAGGGCGTCTTTCTCCGGAACCAGGAGTCCCCTACCCCTTCCCCACCTTTTCTTATACTTAGCTGGAGTCCAGCCCTCCAGGGGTTAAGGGGGCGGGGCCAGTTCGTTGCTATGGTGCCAGACTGTTTGGGTCTGCTCTCTGACCCTTGGGGGCTCCCTAGGGTATGCAAAGAGGGGGAAGGGACCCAGGCCCGAGAAGAAGTTCAGTGCCTTCCCCTTCCCCAAAGCCCGTAAACCAAAGGGAGGTGGACCCACGCCTAAGACAGTGACCTTGAACCAGTCCGTAACCTTCTCTCTGAGCCTCAGTTTCCCCTCAGAGCAGAAACTTGCTGGGTGTGGGAGAGATGCTTAGTCTGGAGAATCTTTAAGATTCTTGCTTCCCCGCTTTCCTCACCCCCCTCCTCAGGCCCCAGGCAGCCCCGGGGCATTCTGGGAACCCAGGCCTGGGCTCTGGGCCAGGTTGGTTGGGGGGGGGGCTCCTCCCTTCCCCTTCCTCCCCACCTTGGGCTGACTCTCGCCCCCGCCTGAGAGTCTGGGAGGTTGGGAAGGAGGGAAAGCAGGACTTGGTCTCAGGCCCCCGCCTCTCCCTTTGCTTCTCCGCCCCCTTCCCCCCAACACTCAGCAGGTCGCTACCCCGGCCCAGGGCCCCTTCTCAACCCACCCCCAACTCCACCCCCAGAGCTCCAGACCTGGCTCAGAGCAGCGAGGGGGAGGGAGGGAGAGGGGGAAGGAGAAAGAGAATGGGGGGAAGGGAGGGAGGAGAGGGAAGGAGAAAAGAGGGAGAGAAAGGGAGAGAGAGACCCTGAGAGGAAACTGTAAGATGGGAGGAGGGTGGAAGCTAGACTGAATTTAAAAAAAAATAAAAAATAAAAGATCGGGGAGGAAAGGGGGGAGGGAGACAGAAATTCAGAGAGAAAGAGAAAATGAGAGACAAAGCCAGGGAAGGAGGAGACCGAAAGAAGATAGTGAAAAGAGGGAGAGACTTGAGAGGTAGGTAGGTATGGAAGATAGGTGAAGAAGAGAAGAGGTGAATGTAGAGAAGGTCAGCCAGGCCAGAGACAGAGGACCAGGCATGCAGATATGGGAGAAGAGAGCCTACATAGGGAAGATAACTGAGAAAGAAAGGAAGAATTAGAAAAGGGCAAGGTAAGACAAAAATGGGCGGAGAGAAAGAAGCAAGAAGATGGACGTGAAACCTGGGAGCCCCAGAGGACCAGTTCTGAGCGCAGAGCCTTAGGGTGGGTGCAGATCCTAGGGCCCCTCCCACCTGTGACCAACTGACTTTAGCCTAGTGGTTTCCCCACTGGGAGGCTTATGGGTGGAGGTAGAGGCCTCACCTCTGAGTTGGAAGGATTCCAGAAAACGGTGCTCTGGTTGGTATTTCTCGTGGATTGTAACTGTCATTCTAAAGGTTGAGAGTGGTTTTGGAAAAAAAAAAATAGAAGAGGGTTGTTCTGAGAAGCTCATGAGGCTTCTTTATATCCAGGAGCCCTTTAGCTCAGGTCTGAAACCTTAAGGGGTTACAGAAGGGGCAGTATTACCAAGATAAATGGGGCCCCCTCCCTCTTGCAGTCCAGAAACCATGTCTCTAACCATGCTGTGGCTCTTAAGGGAAGTGCTTGATTGGATCCAGTGTCTGTGGGGAGACTGTGTGAGGGGATGAGGGAGGAACTAACCACCCTGAGGTGAGAGTGTTAGGGACTGGACCCCTGGGTCTGGCAGAGGAGAACTGAGTCTGAGGGCCCTGAATATGTGAGTGGGAGGCCTAGGTCCTGGACCCCTTAAATGAAGAAGGACATCTGGAGCCAGCATCCCTGGGTTTGAGGGAGGAGGTCCGGGGTCTGGATTCCTAGCTCTGAAAGAGGGAGACTGGGACTGAATTCCTGGGTTCCTTGGGGAGGAGGGGGCCGGGGGCCCGGACTCCTGGGTCCTGGCACCCACCCGTAGAACCGACCTTGCGGGGCCTTCGCCGCACACAAGCTCGTGTCTGTGGGTCTGTGTCGGGGGCTCACCTGCGCAGCTGGGACCTCCCGGCCCTCCCCACCCACCCTACTTGTCCTGGTCCCCCATCAATCCATCTGTCAATCTGCCCACCTGCCGCGCCCCCCGGGCTGAGGTAGGAGGTTGTATAGTTGAGGAAGACACCCGAGGAGATCACTATACGGCCTCCTAGCTTTCCCCAGGCTGCGCCCTGCACTGGAAGGGGCCGGCGGGGACCCTAGGTTCAAACCACTGCCTTAGAGTTCCTGGGAGGAGCCGGGATGTCTTCTATGGCCACATCCTGTGTTCTAGGCCTTTTCTTTGCAGTCTCTTCTGCCATCAGGAGATTTTCTCATTTTCTTTCACTTACCCCATTGTGTCTGGGCTTCTTGAAACTTCTGTTTCTCAAGCGCTGTGAATATCTCTGTAACATTGTGGGTCTCTGAGCCACTAGACTTGTATCCAGGTTTCACATTTTCCCTTTGCCCCGTTTCTGCCTTCTGGGGCTCAGTGTATCTCTGTTTCTGCCCGTTTTCCCTGCTCCCACATCTAGGAAGAGGGCTTTTCTGGTCCACCATAACTGTACTGCCGGCCTCTGGGTCCCTGAGACCCTTTAACCTGTGAGGATGTCCAGGGTCACAGGTGAGGTTCTTGGGAGCCTGGCGCCTGGCTCAACCACAAATGTAGGGATTGCAGGCGACCCATGACAACCTTCCTCTAGATGGAGCCTGACACTTGACCACCAGCTGAAACTCAATCTCTGATCTCAGGCCACAGCTCCCCCTCCCCCACAGTGACCTCACAAAGGTTACTAGCTTCTCCTCAGACCCAGAGACCCTCTGTGATGGCCTTGGTTACACTGGTAGGGAGCTTTGTCCTGTTGTTCTTGCTGATCTTAAGGGCATCCACGTGGGCCTGTCTTTTCTGCTTCACTGCCCAGGAGGAACGCCTCCGTGTCTGCCAGATGTTTGTGGGCAAAGATGTCTCCAAGCTGCGCCAGTGTAAAGATACATTCGAGACTGCTTTTGAGGTTCTCTCAGACATGGAAATCAGTGAGGAAACCCTCTTCCCTGAACCAGGGCCCTGGGGAGGGGCAGGAGAGGCCAAGAAGAAAAGCTAAGAACAGGATCATGGCAGAGATGCAGGGAAGAGAGATAGATGGGAACAATGGAAAGAAACACATCCAGAGAAGGCTCAAGACAGCCTAGAGACAGAGTGTCAGAGAGGGCTAAGGACAGTAAAGGGACATGACAGAATTACGAGGAAAGAGATGGAAAAGTAGAAAGAGTGGAACGAGCATTGCTTAGAGGAGAGTATGGCATGGGAACACAGATGAGTGGGGATATTAGACACTTAGAGGGACAGAGAGCTAGAGAACCAGAGAAATGGATAAGAGACCCAGAAAGAGATAGGTACCTAGAGAGAGTGGGATAGAGACCTGATGATAAAGAGACAAGGACCCAGAGTGTGGGAGATAGGGACCTAGAGAAAGACAGTAATCCAGAGATAAAACAGAGACCCATGGAGTTGGAGTAGAGACAGAGAGGAAACAGATCCGGGCAACAGGGTAACAGAGACAGAGAGAGATAGAGGTAGAGAGGGAAGGACAAATACCCAGATTGGGGTTTGGGGTTGGGGATAGAAAGGAAAGTGGTATCTCTCCATGTAGGGCACTTAGACTGGGGATATAGACTCTGGGATGGGGGTGGGACTTGGGGGCTCTCAGCCACAAAGAGTCAGACATAGAAAATGCACTGGAACCAGGTTTGTACCATGGTGCTTCCTCAGCCTGTTTCTCATCCATCCTCAGACTATGATGAGAGGAGCCACCTGCATGATGCGTTCACACAGATGATACTCTCCCTCCAGGAGGTGGCTACTGCTCAGGGTGAGTGTTTTATAGAGTTTGGCTTGGTGCTCCAAGGACTATGTGAAGACATAAGAGATTTCTCTGCTTGGGACACTTATCTTAAGGGGCTGATACTAGAAACCTGTGTGAGTTAGGTTATTTTTTTGGGGGGAAAGTGAAGAAATGAGTGGAGTCAACAGTGGCAAGGAACTCAAAGAGGTATAGAAGTCACAGTCTGAGGCCCTGCGGGGTCAATTTCATGTGACCTATGGGTGGTTCTCACTGTCTGGGCTCTGAAATCTGGATGTGTTCCTGCCTCTCACCTGGGCTCCACTTACTCACCTGTAAGACAGGAAATTTCTTTGGCTCTCAGCTTGAGTCGTTTTCCACATCTCTTAAGGTGGAAAATTCTCATCTCCTAGGGTGAGATACTCTCTTTATCTCCCAGAGAAGTCAGAGCTCATTGAAAGGAAATGGTTCTTTTTGACACAGGTGTTACGGAAGACATAATCACTTAAGGCAACACACGCTCTCACTGCTGACAAAGTCAGATTAGGAGCAATGGAGCTAGCTATCCATTCAGGGGACAGACATGGAGAGTAAGGGCTAGACTTCTGCTGGGGCGTTGGGGAAGATCATGTTGTATGGAGCAGAACTTAAGCCTCTGGGGACAAGTATTTCAAAAAGACATGATTAGCAGTAATCACACCAGGTCACCCCAAACACAGGGCACACAGTGCTACATAGATAGTAAGTAGCAGTAGAGCAGTATGAGAAATCATTTTTTGTTTCTTTGTTTTAAGAATAAATTGGCCATTCCTAGGATCTGGGCGTTCAGGACTGTTTTTTCCCCCATCTGTAATGGTTCATTTTGTTCCCACTAAGTTTTGTATCAGAGCTCTTTTCAAACAAAGAAAAGGTTCACTCATTCAACAGTGTCCAGGACTATCACAGAAGAGAATTTCTGTGTGTTCCCAAGCCTCAGGAACCAGAGACATGGAAGAAATGCAGGATTCTGGAATATGTCTCCTTTTTGGAAACTTGTGAAAAGCTACCAAGGGCAGACCTTGGAAGTAGTCTCTGTAGGACAGAGACTTAGGAGCAGGTAAAGGCTGAGGTTAGAAAAAGGCCTGACACAGATCTGAGAGCATGGTGAAGAGGAGAGACTAGGAAATGGAAAAGTGGGAGTGTTTCTGGTGGTCTGTTATAGGGAAAGGAAAGACGCAGAGTTACAGGAGTGCCTTTACCTGGGGTCCATCTTCTTAAGAGCGACATCCTAAGATGACAAGCATGGAGCCAAGAGCTGGACCAGGGCAGATGTCTAAGTTAATATTGCAATAACCAGAAAGGGATACTGATGACATATATCAACAAGGCACCTAGACACCTAAATGTTGGCATCAATCAAGGAGACTTAAGACACTGTCCTGAGGGACCTGGAAGACCAAAGGGGGCTTTTCAGCAGGGCAGAGGAGCTTCTGGAATCCCACAGAGGGAGAGGCTAGAGACTGGGAGAACCTAGTGCAATCATTTACTCAGAGGCTTACAGAATATTCCAGAACCACCTGTGGGGTCACAGCTGGTACCAAAACTGCAAATAGCCTGCCCTGGAGATGCTTGTATTTAAGGGCAGAACACAGATAATAAACAGCCAATAAAATATGAAGTTGAGGGTATCTTACAGGTAGAGAAGCCTGCCTAGAATCCACCATTGAGGTTGCAGGGTTGTGACTTAGTAATACAGCTCTCACATAGAATCTAGCAGGGAAGGCTTGGCACTATGGCTAAGCTGTGGAGGACTTGCCTAGAGGTGTTGGGTCTCCTGGACAATAATTTATGTTAATTATTCTCCTAAGGGATATTTTATTAACAACCCTGTGAGGTGGAGTTTTAAAGCCCTACTTTCCAGGTGGGAAAGTAGGATAATTTGTGCATTGGATGAACCAGACTAGTGCTGTGTGTGTGTGTGTGTGTGTGTGTGTGTGTGTGTGTTTGTGTGACACAAGACATAATGACTCTGTATACACGTAATAGATTTATAAGGTGAGTATAGGTTGAATATTTTTAGTGCAATAATCTGAAATCTGAACTGTTCCTAAGCTAGATGTGGCTTGTCCATACAATCTTGGGGTCGGAGGGTAGGCTGGGAAGGGACAGAGGATTCAAGAGTTTGAGAGCACCATGGAATACATAGTGAAAAAAATATTGAAGACTAGGAATGTAGCTCAGTTGGTAGAGTGCTTGTCTATTATGCACAAAGTCATGAGTTTTATCCCAAGCACCTAGTAGAGTCCTTGGTTCCACACATCTGTAATCTCAGCACTGGGGAAGTAGAGGCAGAGAGATCATCCTTGATTACATAGTGACTTTGAACCCAGCCCAGGCTACAAAGTCCCTGTTTCAAAGGAAAATAAAATGATCCTGGTTGCTCACACAATGCCAGTATCTGGAAGGAGGCAGTAGGATTTAGGGAGCCTAGGTAGCATAGTCTGCCTCAAAACAGACACAATAAAACAGTGAAATACATGTGTTCTTATTCGTGTGTGTGTGTGTGTGTGTGTGTGTATGTGTGTGTATGAAATGTTTCACAATCCACATCCTTTTGAATGTCATCTTAGCTCTACGTAACATCACATGACAGGTCACAGGTAAAACTCAGAACCACTCAAAATATTGTGTGAACTCAACCTTCAGATTGTAAGGCATTATGAAAGAAGTGAGTTTCCATTGTTACTGCTTTATTTATTTTTGTGTATGAATGTTTGCCTACATACATGTCTGTGCACCACATTCATGTGTAGTGCCTGAACTGGCCAGAAGAGGATGCCAGATCCCCTGGAGTAGTAAGTAGTAGGGTGGTAGGAACGTCTTCACTAAGGAATTATGGGCATTGCGCTAAGCAGGACAGAAGATAGCTCAGAATGAAAATGATTCCATCTTACATAGCACTCAATCTCAGTCTTTGTGGTAGACATTGCCATCATTGCTGTTTTTGTGCAATGGGAAACTGAGGACCAGAGAGTTGTCACCTGACGGAGCTCACATGTGGAGGCTGGCTTGTGATCTGTAGATGTATATCAGTGTGAAACAGGTGTACTCATATCTGATTTGCAAAACCCATTGTCAGAGCTCCTAATACACGCCCCTCACCAGGGAAACTGCAGTATCTTTTGTACTGCAGTTATGGTTCAGTTGACGTAATCCACATTCCATTTACCCTGTTTAGGCTATTTCCCTCCACTCCTGACCCAGTGTGTACTAGATATATATGCTTAACCCACCCCTGCCCACCTCACAGGCCACTATGGTGTCCTTCGTATGTCCCACCATCTTATTGGTATGTTGGGCGAGGCCTTGTGGATCCAGGCCTCTCACTGGGGGCTCCACTGGGACCATATCCTCTTTACAGTACTACTCACTAGTACAGTCACTAGATCATGCTCTTATACTTAAAAGATTGAACCCAAATTATTCAAAAGCTTCTTGGCTTTGGTACTTCTCTGCCCTTGTAGACAACCCACAATGTACTTTCTTTACTTAATACCTTCAGTTCCTTCCTGACAGTTTCTCACACACATAATATATTTTGGTCTTCACCTCATTGCTGTGACAGAATACCTGATAATCACCTTAATGGAAAAAAGGTTTATTATGGATCACTGTTTAAGTGTATCGTCCATCGTTGTAGAAAGTCATGCAGGAGTGTGAAATGGCTGATTATGTTGCAAACACAGGAAGCAGGGAGAAGTGAATACTTGTGTTCAGCTTTCTGCTTTTGAGTCACTCTGGGATGCCACCTACATAAAGGGTGGGAATAACCACCCCTCCACATGTCCAGAGGTTTGTTTCCATGGTGAGTCTAAATCCTATGAAATTGATAATAAAGATGAACAATCATATTTGTCTAGGGTCCACCCTCTAGAATGCTGTCTTTAAATACAGTCACATTCTTCCATACTCTACTGGGGATTAGGATTCTGAATATGAATGTGGGTGGGGGTGAACACTGTCATAACCATTTTCACCAGAAGGCTGGTCTCTGGAGAGCCACATCTCATGATCTATGGTGGTGAGAATCAAGGATTCAGAACATAAAAGAGTGAAGGGTGGAAATGAATGGTGCTTGGGTCTGGGAAAAAGGGCTTCGAAATGCTCTGTTTAAAGAGAACAGCAATGGTGGTCACTGGCCTAATTATTGCCTTATGGCACTGGTCAATGTTTTGTAGCTTTGTACATTTTTTTTTTAAAGAGATGCTAAGCATTTTTGTTACCTCAGTTTTGTGTGTGGCAATCAGTTTATTTGGTTATTTTTAAAGACTTATTATTTATATGTATGGGGGGATGGAGGATGTTGGTGCATGTGAATGCTTTTGAAGGCCAGAAGAGGATATCATTCCCTGAAGTTGGGCTAACATACGGTTGTGAACCTCCTGACATGGGTGCTCAGAAACAAGAGTGTCCTCTGCAAGAGCAATTCTTTGACTTCAGAGTCATCTCTTCAGCTTCCTTCCGATTTTTTAGAATAGCAGTATCAAGATCTTTTATTACTCTCCCAAAGTCATATATTTGTCACCAGTTCATAAATTTAAAAAAAGAAACAAGCTGTGTGGTGGTGGTGAATGCCTTTAACCCCAGCATTCAGGTTACAGAGGCAGGCGGATTTCCAAGTTCTAGGCCAGCCTGATCTACAGTGGGAGTTCCAGGACAGACAGGGATACACACAGAAACGTTGCCAAGAAAAGGACTTAAAAAGAAGAAAAAGAAGCACTTTACTGTCGATTTTTATCACATCCAGGGCATTTGGGTCTAAGGCCACTGCTGGTGACCTACATTTCCTGCTGGATTCTAGAATTCACTCAACATAATACTTACTGAGCTATTTTGTAAGACTGGGCCCTTTTGTGGGTTCCGAAGATGCTGTATTCAAGACGTGAGAATTCAGGAAACATTGAGAAAAGAAGGTGGAAAGATTTTTAAGAGTCAGAGATTAGGGAGGATAAGACAAAGTGCTGTGTTCTGGACATGACAGGACTAATGTACTGTTGAACTCACAGCAGCTGTGGTTGCCTGCACACGATGAAGTCTATTAACATTCCCGTGCTGGGGTGGGACTCAGAAGCTTCCACCTCTGACTGAGGACATACTGATAGTTGATGGCTGCTGGAGGACAGAGAGCCAGCTGTCTTCAAGGGTGCATGCAGTCCCTGGTAGGTTGGTAGTGCACCCAGTGGATGGTCAGCCCAGATTGGACTGAGTGGTTATTATATTTAAAAGAAAAAAAAAATGAAGAAGGTTGGGAAGAGTAGGAGGTGAGTGGGTTTGGAAGATAGGGGAGGAGATAATACAATCAAAATACATTGCATGCATTATGAAATGCTCAACAACAATGCACCACCATCAATTAAGGAGTTGGGTGTGTGCACTGCCTGCATAGGCAGGCAGATCTCTGAATCAAGGCCCACCTGGTCTACATAGAGATGTCCAAGCCAGTCTGGAACATAGTGAGCCACTGTCTTAAAACAAAATGCCAAAAAGATGGACTTAATCCATTAGCATATGTAAACATTAACTTACACACACAAATAATTTATATACACATGTGTGATTGCAAACCGATGAAGCTTATGTACACTGTGAATGGGGCACAATGAGAGATGGAGGTAGGGGACTTTGGTACAGATTTGGGGTGATGAAACCCTTTGCAGTGACACATGAGATGATAAGATACAGAGGATGATTTGGGGCTGGGCAAAAGATGTTTATAAAGAGGTCCAGGTAACCTGGAGATCGAAAGTTCACAAGAGGGCTGCAGCAGAGAAAGAGGAAACAGCATTGTAGGGCGTCGTAAGCCCTGTGGAGGACTTGATCATTATCCTCCCATTTCCACTAAGATACACACAGATAGTGCTCTGAAGAGGCAGAGCACCTTGGAGAAGTTTGTTAGCCTTCCCTTTGTGCCTGTGGGAGGAGGAAATACAGCATGTGCTTATGGAGAGACAAAGTCTCAAATGACTCTTCAGCCGTAGGGAAAGGACTCCTAGTCCAACCACCTTGCTTCGTCCCCCAGGGTCCTTTAGAGATGCCTTCCCCAGTGCTGCAGCAGAAATGAAGAGGACCGTTCAACAGCTTAAAAAAGGTAAACCAGTCTCCAGCTCCAGCCCCCCCCCCCCCCCCCGCAGACACACGACACACCACACAGATAATTACTCTGAATCCAGCCTAAATGCTGGAACCAGTGGATTTCCTATCCTAGGACAGTTCATTTAACAGTCTTGGACCTTATCCACCCAGGTCTCTTCTAAGATATGTTTTTGGCCCTGCACTGAAAGGCATCTTCTGTAGGCTGTGCTTCTCTAACTGGGCCTATTAATTAGGTTCTAATTCCTTGAAGGATTGATTGCCTGGTATCTACTCCACACCCCGAAGGGTAATTAATACCTCAAGACTGGTTCCCCTCAAGGCTTTTAGTATGCCCCACCCCCTTTCCCTTTCCATAGATGGTGACATTTGTGGCCTTGCTCCACCCTCTGGATGAAGCTCTGTGGCCTTGGCCCTGCCCCTTCGGAACAATGTACTCTGATCTGCCTTCCTAGGTGCTGTATTAGGAGCCTAGACCTGTCCCCCAGAGGAGAGGGTCCCCAGCCTGTAATAACATCTGGAGGGGCTTTAGATAGGTCTCTCTGTCGACTACTTGGATCCTAATGCCTTCTTTCTCTCCACAGTTCAGGCATGCGTCCCTCCTTGCGGTAAGGTCTTAGTTTCAAACCCAAGACAGCAGGGGAGGCTTGGTGACTAGGGTGGAGCCTGAAGCTTAAGGTGGAGACAAGGAGAGGGTTTCAGATCCAAAGGGAGCCAATAGGAAAGTACATAAACTGGGTATTGTTCAAAAACTTAATAGAAGCAGGCTTTGATGTTTCAAGCATGTCATCCTAGCTACTTCAGAGGCGTAGACAAGATCACACGTCCAAGGCCAGCATAGGCTACACAGTTTTACCCCGTGCTGGGCAACTTAGGGGGACCCTGTCTCAAAACAAAAACTAAAAAGAATGCTGAAGATACAGCTCAGCAGTGGAGTACTTGCCCAGAATAACTAGTGAGGGGTTGGGGTTCAGTGGTAGATCTCTTGCCTAGCCTCTTTCAGAGGGTCTAGGGTATGTTTTATTTGTAGAGCGCTTTCCTAAAATTTCCAAGTGAGGACCTGGGAGCATTGTTCGGTGGTAGAGAGGTTGGCCAGCATATATGTATATGTTAAAGAAAGCTGGTTTAACGGCCCAAACAAGGAGTATATGACCCAGGCGTGGGCTAGTCATTTAAATGGTGTAGAAAAGACTGGGTCTATCCTCCACCTCCCCAACAGAAACCTGGGAGTTCCCGTAGATTTAACAAGATTTAGAGACTTGGTCTGGAGACTGCAAGGGAGCTCAACACTCCTGCTCTTCACAGGTGTCCAGGAGTTCACTAGGCTTTTCCACTGCCAGGGCTGCTATTCCACCATCTGCGACCTACCTCTGGACTGTCCAGGTGAGGGGTTGGGGCTAGGATACCAGGGAAGAGGCAGGCCGTATGCCGGCTTACAAGAGTCACCCGACCTCTCTCCAGTTCAGGACCTGATAGTGAAACGTGGAAACCAGGCTTTGTTTTCTTGCACCGTGGGCTTCCAGTTGCCAGAGTCGGAGCTCACTTATTCCTGGAAATTTGCGGGAGGAGGTGTGAGTCCGGAAAGGGCCAGCTGGAGGGCTTAAGGCATCGGTTCTGCTCCCAGGAAGAAGGTTCAGTTCAGGGTGGGGGTTCGGTTTAGTACACGAGGAGGGTCGGGGATAGGTTAAATGTATGTATGGAAGACCGGTGCTTAATGTGCATTGTGAGTCGGGCTTCAGGGAATGCCGGGAAGGGTTGCTTAGAACAGCCAAAAGAGCCAGAGGCCTGCGAGCTGAGTCAGGGCTTGTGTAGGAGGCGTGCCATTCCCGCTGAGTCAAGATACATTTCAGCTCCTTAGAGTTGAAATACAGCTTCAGTCCCGCCACCCCGCAGCTCCGGACTCGGGACATGTCCTACTTCCGTGATGTGCCGGGGGCCCACGGGTACCTGGCGCGAATCCGGCCAGTGCAACCCAAGCACAGCGGGACCTTCGTATGCGTGATCCTGCATGACCAACGCCCCCTGGCGCGGCTCTACTTCTATCTGAACGGTGCGGGCAGGGCAAGGATGTGAGGTGGGGCCCAGAGCGAGGCTCCACCCCTTAACGTTGCGTCTGGGCAGTGACGGGCCCTCCTCCGCCTAGGGAGATGGAGCTTCAGGTCACATTCCGGGAAGTGGTGAATTGGTCAGCGCGGGAGGCGGAAATGATCGTGCCCTGGAGTCCCAGCCTAGGCGAACTACTTACCATGCCCCGGGCTCTGACGCTCGGCAACCTGTTCCTGATCGCGACCACCGCCGCATTCCTGTCTGCTAGTGTTACTGCGCTAGCATGGTGAGTGCGAGCTTCCACCCTCCCTTCTCCCAACTCCTCTGGTCCATGCTCCTTTCCTCCGCCTGGAGACCAGAAATCCAGACTCCCATCGGTCCTCCAGACCTCCGCCTCTTCCCACAGTCATAGCAGTCCTACCCAACTGTTCTCCCAGAACCAGAGACCAAGGAGTCTAGTTTCCATTCTTTAAGCTCTAGGAAGCCTAACCCTCTTTTCTTAGACTCGGGGGGTCCAGGCCCCAGCATTCCTTCCTCAGATCCAGGGGACCATGTCCTAGCCCTTGCTCAGGATGAGAAATCCAGGTCTCTTGTCTTTCTGTCAGATAACCCAGGAATCCTCACACCAACCCTCCTTGGAGACTCAGGTCAAAGCTCCTTGCACTTTGAAACCCAAATGTGTTTTTCTTACTGGCCCCTCCTACAGCACCCACCCCTTTGTTTTCCCAGGATTTTTTTTCGATGGTACTTAAGTGGCAACTAACAAGGGTTAGTCCTGATCCTACATCTGTCCCTGAAATAAAAGAATGTATTTCAGTTAGTTCTGGATTCTCTGGTTTGTTTGTTTAGTGTTTTAAGTGGTCACTGCTCACCCAGGGATAAGGACCGACAAACCCCCCCCCCCATACTCAGGAGAATGTGAACAGGATACAAGCGATCTTAGTCGGGGAGGCCCCTGGACATCAGCTTAGACCCTTTTCTCCAGCAAATTCCTTTGCATTTCCATCTGTAGAAAACACCCTTAGCATACTATCTGCTACCCCCACAAAAGAAACACCTTTTCTTTCCCAATCTTTTCATCCTGTCAAAAAAAACCCACACCCTTCTAGTAGTTCAGAGCAGAAACCACTGGGCAACACTCCCAGCTCTTCGCTGGGGGATTCTAGGGAGGAGTTCTACCGCTGAGCCCCAGCCCTTCACTGGAGTATTTTCTTAGGGCCTCTACTGCTGAGTTACACTCCCAATCCCTCTCAGTAAACAGTATCCCTAGTGGTGGTTGACACCCCCAGCCCCTTGCTGTGGATTCTAGGCAGGAACGGTACAGCTGAGCTGCATGCTTCGTCTGGTTTCTTACTGTGTGTGGGGTGGTGGTGGATAAATACGTATACATGAATGTGCACATAGAAGCCAGAAGTGAACCTCAAGTGTCATTCCTCAGACACGACCCCTCCCCATGGTTTTGGGACAGGATTTCTCAATGGCTAGGACTTGCCTGGCTAGTATAGCTGGCCAGCAAGCCCCAAGGATCAACATGTCACTTCACTAGCTCTAGAATTACTGGTGTATGTTTCTGACATGAGAGTCCTGAGGATGGGCTTGGATCCCCACTAGTTTCCAATATAGGATTGTTAAATGAGTCGCATTGGATTGCTGCTCTGCTCTAAACCCATCAATAGTTTCCCGTGGTCACTGGAACCAAATCAAATTCCTTGTTAAAACTCCCAAGGCAGCACTTGGGGAGGCAGAGACAGGCAGACTCTGTGGGTTCGAGACCACCCTGGTCTACAGAGCAAGTCCAGGACTGCCAGGGCTATTACACAGAGAAACATTGTCTCAAACAAACAAACAAAAAACAAACAAACAAACAACAAAAAAAAAAACAACACATGCACAAAATCCCAAGGCTTCACACATTCTGGCCCTTGTTGGTCTTCCTAGCCTTGTTCCTATCAAGGAAGAGACCTTTCCATCCTACCTTGCAATTCCCATTTCTCCTTATGATGTTTATAAGAATCTCAGCCACCTCAGGATGTTGCTGTGATAAAACACAATCAAAAGCAAGTTACAGAACAGTTCATTTTAGTTTGTGGTTGCACAGGGAGAGGCCAGATGATGGGATATATGGCAACAGACTGCTGAGAGATCATATCTCAAAATGCAGAGAGGAAACATGGATGCCAACTGGAAGAGGGGTGAGGCTACAAGTTCAGGAAGGCCACCCACAGTGACATACATCTTCCAACAAGGCTCTACCCCACAAAGTTTCATAACCTCCAAACAGGAAACCAATATGTAAACCTACAGGGGACATTTCTTATTTCAGTCACCTAACTGGGCCATGGAAGGTCACGATTTGATTGATATATACCATCCAGCTGTGGTATCAGTTACTTTCCTGTTTCTGTAACCATATATTGTCTCATAGTTTTAGATAATTTTCAGTCTCCTAGATTTAGGGAAGGTTGAGAAGCTCCATCCAAGGCAATTGGAGGATGCGATCACAGGTGTGTGGCTGACCAGGAAATGGAGAGTTAGAGGAATCAGGGATCTGGCTAATAAACCTTCAGAGCCTATCCCCAATAACCTATTATGGTGGACTCCACCTTATAAAGTGTCCATAGTCTCTCCAAATTTTGAGACCTACTGGGGAGCAAGCATTCATAATACAAGCCTGTGGATGGCACTTCGAATTCAAGTCTTGGAAGGGGGCACTGGGATGAGGGTGAAGGGGGAGTGGCACCCGTGTAAAAATTACTTTTCTTTTGTTGTGATAAAATACCATGACCAAAATCAGCGTAAGGAAGAAAGGGTTTATTAAGATAAAACATAAGCCCAAGCTTATGGTTCCACAGTGATGGAGTTTCTCATGGTGGGGAAAGCCTGACAGGTATGGGAAGGCATGGGGGTAGGAATAGGAATCTGCCACATCATAGTTCCATCCACACGTAGGAGTGAAGAGAAAACAAAAGGTAGAGTGAAGCTATAACCACTTAGGCCGAGCCAGTGGTGTGCTTCCTTCAGCAAGGCTCCACCTCCTGGAGATTCCTTAACTTCCTTCTACAGCATCATCAACTAGAGACTATGTGTTTAAATACATGAGAACATATTTCATTAAAGACCGTAAGTCCATTCTGTCCAGAAGATACACCCAATAGCATCTGCAGGCAGATGGAAATGCAGGGGTTAAGAGACATCAAGGAAAGCACAGAGGCTTTCTCTGTAATGGACATGACCTAATTCTATTCTGTCTAGAACTGAAGCACCAGCTCCCTTCAATCTGTCAATCACTTCAAAAGGACAAGTCTTGCTGAATAACTTTATAGCTATGAGTAACTTTAATTAGTGCAGTCTTTGACCCCAGAAGTCACAGGCATATATGTCTGGGGTTTTATTTTATTATGATTTTTTTTTTTAATTTTCTTTTTGTCTGCATGTGTGTGCTTGCATGTAAATGCCAAGATTGATGCTAGGTATCTCTCTCAGTTACTCTCAACCCTGAAAGTATTTTTGAGTCAGACTCTCTAACCGAACCTGGAGCTTGCATTTAGCTAACCAATTTAGCTACACGGGGTGGCCACAGGGCTCCAGTGTCCTCCTGATTTCTACTTTGCAGCTCTGGGATTGCAAGCATCCACTATTGCACCTGGGCTTTTATGTAGGTTATGGGACAGAAACTTGTCTCTGTGCCTGTACAACAAGCGCTTTGCCAACTGAGACACCCTTCTAGACTTATTTTGTTGTTGTTGTTGTTGTTGTTGTTGTTGTTGACAGAGTCTCAGTTTGTAGCCAAACCTGTTTTGGGTCTCAGGATCTTCTTTCTTCAGCCTCCCAAATGCTTGGAGAACCCTTGTGTGACCACACTCAGATTATCTGGATTTTGTTGTTGTTTTATTTCATCTTAGAGACAGGATCTCAGTGTCTAACCTAGCCTGGCTTGGCTCTTGGGGTCTTCTTATCTTGGCTTCCAAAGCCCTCTAATTATAGATGTGCACCAACCGTGCCTGCTTCTCCTGGGTGGTCTTTACTTTTTAAAATGAACTATTCGTTTATTTCTGTGGAGGCTAAAGTGCAACCTGCAGAGGTGAATTCTCCTACCTGGGGGGTCCCAGGAATTGAGGTCAGGTTGACAGACTTGATGCCAGGGGCCTGTGTGAACTAGGCCAGTGGTTCTCAACCTGTAGGTCCAGACCCCCTAAGATGTTGAATGACCCTTTTACAGGGGTCACATATCAAATATCCAGTGGCATACCAGGTATTTACATTATGATTCATAACAGTAGCAAAGTTACAGTTACAAAGTAGCAATGAAATAATTCTATGGTTGGGCGATCAAAGCTCATAGCATTAGGGATGTTGAGAACCACTGTGTAAGCCCATCTTTCTGGTATTCTTGATTGCAGACCACACTTTGAGTGTTGGCTAGAAGGCCATTGTGAGTTTACCAGTATTTCTGTTCTTGCAAATTGATAACACACCTGTTAATGGGTTTGTGACTGAATCAGTAACTGAGTGGAAAGATTCAGTGTTTTTTTTTTTTATTTTATTTTTATTTTTATAGGACAGTCTCTTTTTTCTTTTTAATTTATTAACTGATCACGGCCCCTCCCTTCTTTCCTCCTAGTCCCACTCCCACCCTCTTTCCCCATTACACTGTCCTCTTCTCAGAGAAGGGAGCCCCCAAACTGTGCCATTCTAACCCATTCTACTTTCCTGTCACATCATGGACTCTGTTGCCTGCTGTTGGATTCCCCTCCACCCCCAGCTGGGCAGGCTTGCCTGGTCTCAGTGGACAAGGGTGCACTCAATGGTTATTCTTATCCTCACCATGGCTCTTAAATCTGTGGTCCAGGGAGCTAGGATGATGCCTTTCTTTTGCTGAGGCAGGGAGATGGATTAGGAAGAGGAAAGTCTGGAGTTGGGTGTGAGATGTTGCTTTAAACTAGACTGGAATTTAGAAGCAAGCCTAGTCAAACAATATTTGGGAATCTTGTCTGTCTGTGGAGAGTGTAAGTAGAATGCTTAGAGCCATAATGTTGAGTACCAAGCAGGGCCATGTGTAGACAGATGAGAAAAGTGGTTCTCTAATGGCTGCATGATAACAAACCCAAAGGAAAGCTTTGGAACATGTGTGAGAGAGCATGAATACTTTATTGTACAAATGGGTGTGCATGCCTGTTCATGCATCTGGACTCTAAAAGAGGGTCTCATATGTCTGCTGTCATGCTCCATCTATTCTTTTGGAGCACAATTTCTCCTTGAATCTGGAGCTTGTGTTTTCTTGGCTAGGTTGGACAAAGATAACCTTGAACTCCTGATTCTCCTGCCTCCACCTTCCAAGACCAGGTATCACAGGAGTGTACTAACACAGTTAGTTTAGGCAGTGCTGGAGTGAAACTCAGCTTTGTGCTTACCAAGCAAGTACTGTAAAACTAAGCAAACTCCCTCAGCCCGGAACAAAAATAAATAAAACAAAACAAACAAGGCTGAGGGAGCAAGTATCTGAGGCTCCTGTCTCTTCCTGACAGCCAAGTGAAGAAAACATACCTCAGTGGGAGGGTCCTGGTTTTAACAATGTGGGTATCATTAGTGAGCTTAATTTAATGACCAATTTTGTGGAGTGCAGGAGAGGTGCAGTGGGAGTACTGACCATGTGACTGCCTTGGGTTTTCAACAGTGGGAGTCAACATTAGTCATTAGGGAAATGGAAATCAAAACCAAAAAGAGAAACCAAGCTGCAGTCACCAGGATACCTTAGGCACTGTGTTCGGGAAGTGGGTGGAAAGATCAAAAGAATCATTACAATTGCTAGCAATGAGGTAGGACAGAGTAGCCCCTGTGGAAAATTCTGCCAGTTGCTTCAAGGATTAGGGTCTGTAAAGATGTCTGGGTGAGCAAAGGACTTGCAGTGAATCATGAAGAACTGAGTTTGAATCTTTAGAACCCATGTAAAAATGCATTTAGTGTTGAGCTTCTAATCCCAGCCCTCATATGGCAAGATGAGAGAGGAAGACAGGAGAATCCTAGGCAACCAAGGCTGGCATATGCAGTGGTGAAGTAGAGACCCTGCCTTAAAGCTGGAAATTGAGGACTGGATGGTGAGGTGACATAATCTTTAACCTCCACATAATCACATCAGTGTGTATACACACACACACATGGACATATACACAAAGATAAAACAAAAATAAATGGTTAGGGCTACAGGTGTGTACAGATGTGGCTCACTCAGTGGAGTGATTGCCTAGCATGCTCAAAGTCCTTAGTTCTAGCCCCTGAACTTCATAAGCAGTGTGCTAGTTTGTATTAATGATTCTAGAACTAGGAAAATGAAGTCTGGAGGATCACAAGGAGATGGTCATCCTTGCCATGGATGAGGTTAACATGTGTTCTGTGAGAGCCTGTCTCAAAATAATAACAATTAAAAAGACCTAGCAGTTCTTCTCCCAGGTGTATACTCAAGAGAATTAAAGTCGTAGGTCCACACAAAAACCTATCAAAGAACATCATCATCCCAAGTGAAAGCGAACCTAAACATCTGTCAGCTGATAATAGGGTATGTAAAAATGGGTTGTGCCCCTGTTATGCTATACTGCTTAACATAAAAAGGAATAAATCAGAGATTCAGTAGCATGAGTGAGCTTTGAAACTGTTCTGCTAAATCAGTCAAAAAAGATCACGGACTGTGAGATTCCATTTATGTGAAGGATCTAGAACAGGTAAATTCACAAATTTCACAGCAGCTGCCTCAAGTGTGTCTGTTGGAGAGACATCGGGATGAGGCATGTCCTCCAGCAGGTATAGAGTGATGGAAATATTACGTTAGATTATGGTTGTGGCTACACAGATGATCAGTTTTCCTAAAACTGAATTCTACCAGCTTTTTCATGGAATGTTGCTATCCATAGAAAGGGAAGTGGCATGGTAGTTGAGGAAACAAAGGTCAAGAGAGTCCTTAAAAGGTTTTTGAGACAAGATTTCATGTAGCCCAGGATGGCCTTGAACTCCCTTTGTAGCAGAGTTTAGTTTTGATTACCTGCTTGACACCTGGGGAGGAATTTCTGTAAGGAATATTCTGGATTAGAGTGGCCATTAGGGATGCCTGTGAATTATTTTAACCAGGTTAATTGAGGTGAGATGAGTCTCTCCTAATGTAGGCAGCACCATTTTATGGGCTGGTCCCTGGGCTGATTGATAAAGTGAGCTGAGCACCAGCACAGGTGCGTTAATCCATTACTCTCTCCTCTTCACCAGGTGCTTCAAGTTCCTGCTGCCTTTACTCTCCTGCAATAATGGACAGTGGCCTGGATTTGTTAGCCAAATAAACCCTTTCTTCCTGGCTGCTTTTGCAAGGGTATTTTCTCACAGCAACAGGAAACAAAACTGAGTTGAGAATGGCCATGGACTTCTGATCTTCCTGCCTTCAACTTCATGTGATGGGGATTATAGGTGTTCACTGCTTCATTTGGCTAGTAATTGTATTTTCTTTAATTTTTTTATTTGAGGTTTTATGGGTGCTTTGTCTGTATGTATGCTTGTGCACCACACCCACGAAGGCCAGAAGAAAGATGTTGGGTCCCCTGGAATTGACGTTACAGAGTTTGTGGGCCACCATGTGGGCACTGGAAATTGAAACCAGGTCCTCTGGAAGACAAGCCAGTGCTCTTAACTCTTGAGCCATCTCCCCACCTCCAACACCTGTATTTTCTGAAGACAGAACCCAGGAAAGAGAGTGCCCAGTGGAGGCTCAAACAGCTATCACCCAAGACTGGACCCTGTGTTTCATATTCTCATTGACAAGAAAAATTGGGAAAGGGCGCTTGGAGGAAAATAAATAAAAAATTTATTATATCTTAATCACAGTACAAACAGATTAAATAGCAACAGGAAGAAACTGGGAACCTTCTGGCCCTGGTTCTATAAACCCACACCCTGATCAATAAATTACCCCTTCCCAGAGACCCACAAGTCTGAGTTCCAGTACAGTCCAGACTGAAGAATCCTGGATGACTCCTTCATTTCAAAGAGAAAGTAAACTGAGGCCAGGGAGTCACCATGAAATCCATGACTCCAGGGGGCTATCCCGCAGGACTCCTCTTGCTTCCCCTATAAGCAAGCCTTCAGTGGGCATCTTCATGGCTAGTCTCACACCTGGACACGGTAGCCACCACTCCGACGTCGGCATAGCCTCCTCACAGCCACCCAATAGATAGTCAGCATTACCACCCAGTAGGCCACATAGGCGCTTGCCCCAGCAGCGAGGTGGTAGGCCTCGGCTGCCCTGGATGGGCCGCTCCAGTCAGCTCTGGCCTCCTGGGCCACACTTCGGGCCAGGCCTCCAAGCAGCAGTACAGCCCAGAGTGCCAGGGGCAGCAGCGGGACATAGTTAGCAGCCAGCTTCTTCCGGCCCGAGGTGCCCCAGCCACTTTGATTCATGGTGACCAACGCCAGGAACTTGGCAGGCAGGAGGCCACACATGTAGAGCGGTGCATAGAGTGACAGCAGCACCATGCGGAGGCAGCCACGCAGCCAGGCTGCAAAGGCCGCTTTGGCCAGAGCCACGCCCTGCACACACAGCAGCACCCAGAGCAGAGCCCACGGGCGCCCAGCATAGAAGAGCCGTAGCACGGTGGCAGCCACGAAGAAAGGAAACAGGCCTGAGACTATCGCCTCATAGGTCATCCACGCGTGGTGGCGGTGCCACCACAGGGCATTGTATAGCCACTCTCGGAAGTAAGACTTGGACCAGCGGGTCTGCTGGCTCAGCCAGCGCAGGAAGGAGGAGGGTGTCTCTGAGTAGCATCTGGAGCGGGAGGTATACCTGGCAGGCACAGAGAAAGAAAGGCGGGTATCAGTGTGGTTCTCCCTGGGGCCTGGGCAGGAGTTCTACATTTTAAGATCATTGTATGTGCGTGTGTTTTGCTTACATGAACGTATGTGTGCTACATGTGTTCCCGGTGCTCAAGGTCAGAATGCTTGTGAGCTGCCTGTTTGGGTGATGTCAGTCTAACCCAGGGCCTCCACAGGAGCAGCCAGTGCTCTTCACTAGTCCAGTCTGTTGGGCAGAGTTTTGAAGTGAACTGACCACTTTCACTAATATTGGGGCAATTTTTTAAACTTTTTTTTTTTTTTGTCACTGTGACAAAACACCGGACAACAGCAGCTTAAGGAAGGAAAGATTTATTATGGCTCATAGTTATGACAAAGTCTGTCATGGAAGGGAAAGCAGAGAGTCAATAATATAAGGCAACTGATCACATTGCATTTATTTACAGGAAACAGAGAGGAATGAATGCTGGTGTGTGTGAGTGTCTGTGTGTGTGTGTGTGCGCACTTGTGCACGTGTTCAAGCAGCATGTGTGTGGAGATCTGAGGACTTTATAGGAATCACACAGGCAAGATAGAGAGATAGAACCAGAGAGCCCATGCATATCAATATACAAGGAAGCCAGGAGAGTATCTCCGGTTCCCTGGAGATGGAGTTAGACGCAATTGTGAGCCCCCAGTGTGGGTGATAAAATTCCAGTCCTCTGGAAGAGGCCCTCTTAACTAATAAACCATCTCTCCAGTCGCCTCAGCATTCTTTCTATGGACCAATATCATGATTTAATATTTACAGCAGTGGGTATTGCATAAAGATTGAAATGCCAAGCAGTTTTAAGTAATTGCTCAATCAATGTGAGGTGAGCGACTGCTGTTTTTACTGTGACTAACGCTGTTACTAGAGACATGACTAATAGTATAGTCACTGACACTAACTAACACCATCAGTGACATGACTAAGTGCTGACTAAATTGGCAGGGCCTGCCATGAGGAACAAGACAAGACTGTCTGCTACCCAGGTTAGTCTCTGTGTAAGGAGTTCTAAAAAGAGCAGTTGGACCCCTTCCTGTGGCTGAAGCAGAAACCATTAATCTCTTCCTGTGTGGCATAGCCACACCCATGCAGGTTACATAGAATCCTAATTAAGGAAAGTCACAGATGGCTGGCACCAACATCAAAGGCAACATCAAAACTAGTCTTTGTTTTGATCTGTCATTTGTGTCCTAACTAGGGTGAATGGATGTTTGTCTACATTGTGCTAGTTAGTTTTAACTGTCACCTTGCCACAACCTAGAATCTTTTCTTTCGAAAAGAAAGCTTCCATTGAGGAGCAGTCTAGATCAAGTTGGCCTGCAGGCATGTCTGTGGGGAATCATCTTGATTGTTTACAGGGCCGGCGCTGAATCGTCTAAGAGTAGAGAAAGCTAGCTAAATACTAAGCAGGAGCATGCTAAGTTCCATTCATTTCTCTCTGCTTTTGAACACAGATGTGACATAACTGGCTGCCTGAGTTCCTGCCCTGGCTTTCAGTGATGTACTGTGATCTGGAATTGTAAGCCAAATAAGCAGTCCCTCCCTCAGGATGCTTTTGGTCAAGGATGTCTTTGTGGCAGAAACAAAAATTGAAACACCGCTTCCCTAGGAAAAGTCATGAAACATACTATATACTTTACCATACCTGATAGATATATTGTCTTCTCAAAGCAAGAAGGGATTTATGTAATCTTTGCCTACTGCTGTGCCTCTAAAGCACTCTCCTCCAATGACAGGTGCCTCTTTTTTTTTTGGGGGGGGGTGGACCATGCTGGCATCATCTCCATAGTACAACCCACTTACCCAGCCCACCTTGTTCAGTCTATGTGTATTGACTCACCCTTACCTTGCCTTGCTTGGTGACGACCATTTAGTGAAAAGCTTTCATGAAAACACTTCACAACCTTTAGAGTATCTCCAGTTTGTCTCCTAATATCAAACTCTTTGAAAGCCATTGGCTGAATGCACATGGCTCCCCCACCTCATGTGATATTTATCCTCTGCCTCTCTCTGTGTCTGTCCCTCTGTCTCTCTCACTCAGGGACACTCACTGGTGTCCTCACACACTTGACCATCAGGCTGGCCCCTTCAACTTACTTGGTAGCATAGCCCATGCTAAGCATGCGGTTGGTGAGGTGCCTGTCGTCCCCAAAAGTGCAGTGCGTGCCCAGAAACTTCTGGTTGTACCAGGCCTCCAGGAATTGCTGCAAGAGGTTATTCCTGTACAGACCTAGGTAGAGTGGGAGGCACACAAACATTAGCCCCTGGTGAGGTCAAGTTTGTGTTCGACACACCTGCTTCCCACTATCTCTGACTATTCTCAGCTTGTCCCTCCCCATCTCCCAAACAGCCCCAGTCTTAGTATCAACTCCCTGCCCATTCCACTGTGTCTGTTACCACTGACTATGCACTGTAAAGTCATCACTCCCCCTACAATGCCATGGCCTTCTTAGTGCCCTGTTCAACCCCATCTCCTCCCCAACCTCATCTCACTCTCTTCCACAAGCCCTTTTATAGCAACTTCCTCAGCCCTATCTTTGTCCTCAACTTTACCCTGCCTCTACCCCTCTCTCTCTCTCTCCCTTGTTACCTGACCACAAGCCCTCCAAAGCCTGTTTTCACTCACCCAGAGGACCACTGATACAGGACACACAGTGGAAGTAGCTCTGACAAGCTCTCTCCACATTGAAGGCTACCCAGTATCGCAGGCTGCTCAAGAAGCTGACCCAGGAGTCCAGAGGATTAAGGATCCTCACATCTCCTCCAACAGCCCCTACCCGGGGGTCTTCATCCAACACTTGCACAAGCTCCAATAGTGCCATGGGGTCTAACCTTGTGTCTGAGTCACATACCTGTGAAGAGGAAGGGGCCAAGATCAGAGCAGAACCCTACATAGGGCCCGTACTTGGAAGGTCTTGCTGTTTAAACCACGCCCTGGGATGGGATCCTGGATTATATAAGAAGGAGAAAGCGAGTTGAACACAAACATTCATCCTGACTGTAGATGCAATATGACCAGCTAATTCAAGCTCTTTCTGCCTTGACTTCCCTTCCATGAAGAAAAATACCTTGAACTATGGTCCAAAATAAGTCCTTTCTCCCTTAGGGTGTTTTTTATCAGTATTTTCTCACAGTAACACACACACACACACACACACACACACACACACAAACTAAAATAGTAGAATATTAGTGAATGAGCATAGGGAATGGATGAATAGATTTCACGGATGGATGAAAAAAATCTCAACATTGAAAGGAGGAAAAGGAAAGTAGACAGAAGAAAAAAAAAAGAAAGGGGAGAGAGAACAAACCCTATACAAAAGGGGTAAGTGAATGAATGAGTGGATGAGATCCACAGTAGATATATGGATACATGGCTGGATAGAAGAGTGAAGGAAAGAAATTCCATATTGCATGTAGAAAGTAATTAACATTATTATATCAAATGCCTGGATAGGTTAGTGGGTGAGTGATTAAGTGAATGAATCTTTGTATTAAATAAACACATATTTGCATGGATGAATGAATGTATAATCAAATGGAGAGTTTCCTTTTGTCTTCACGGCTGCATGAATGAAAGAAGGGAATGGTTTTCTTCATTCAGTGTTGCTGTGATTGGTATGTGAAATGTTTCCCATAGGTACATGTTTTTGAACACTTGGTCTCATAGCTGGTGGTGGTGTTTTGGAAGGTTACATAACTTTTAGGAAGTGGAGCCTTGATGGAGAAAGTGGATCATAGGGAACCAGCTGGTGGGTCTCACTTCCTTTTCTCTTTCTGATTGCTGTCTGCAGGAGCAATGTAATCAGCTTTCTCAAGCTCCTGAATCCATTCCTCCCCTTCATGATGAACTGTCTCCTCAAACTGTGAGCTGAAATAAACGCTTTATTCTTTAAGAAGCTCTTGTCTGGTTGTTTTGTCATAGCAACAAGCATGCAAATAGATGGAGATGTTGGAAACGAACAAAAAAAAAATATTCTAGGCACTACCATTTTGTTTTCAGACTCCATTTAATCACAAGGAGAAACTAAGTTCAAAGTCCCAGGCCCTTGGGAAACTTGGGACTTCAATAGCCTGAACAGTTTTTGTTGTAAAGAAACAGTTGTCTGAATCCAGACATCTCAGGGACAGCTTGTAAGGAAACAGTTGTCTAAGTCCAGGCATCTCAGGGACAACTTCTCCGTCTTAGGGCAGGTCAAGCAAGTTTATGTTCCCAGGCCCAGGGACCTACTCTTATCCTCATTGATGGAAACTCCCTAGCTCAACCCATTATGTCAAAATATGACTGGACAGTGCTACAGCCCACCCTGCTCCCCCCTTGCTCCACAGTTTTATCCTTCAAATACGCTGTTCAGTGTCTCTTCAGGGTCAGAGTTCAGCTCCTGAGTGCCTGTTCTGCAGCCCTGATTGACCAGTAGCAGCTTGGTTACAGTGAATTTTTGTCATCAGCATTGACCTGGTGTTTGAGTCATGTCTGATATATGTTGGATTTAGGCAGACCGGAGAACAAAGTGAATGAACTCTGTATTGGGTGTGTAGGTAGAGGCATATACCATTGAATGAAAGAGAATCGCACCAAAGCATGAAAAAAGGAGGACTCATTGTATCAAAAGTATGGATAAGATTGACTAAATCTCCATATTAAGTCAGTTCATCAATGATTGATGAATGAATGAGTGAACTGATGAATTGGAGTTTCTGTCTCAATGTGTGTTAAGTGATGAAAGAAAAATTATTAAGACTAGGGAGATAGCTAGGACGATAAAAGTGCCGGTGCAAGCTTGAGGACCCAGATTTGAATCCTCAGTATCCATGTAAAAAGCTAGATGTGACTATATGTGCCTGCTTGTAACATAGTGCCGTGTGTGTGTGTGTGTGTGTGTGTGTGTGTGTGTGTGTACAAGAGGATCAGTGGGGCTTTCTTACTACCTACCTAGCTCTAAGTTCAGTGAGAGGGCCTGTCTCAAGGAAATGAGGGAGGGGTAGAGTGATAGAACAGGATGTCTTTCTGAGAACTCCCCAGTACACACACACACACAAACACACAAACACACACACACACAAGTCACAACAGGATTGACTCCTCATCGAAGAAATGAATGAATGGTCTATTGGAGGATGGATAAAAGCATACATTAACTATAGAAAAATCTCTTCGCTGAATGAATAAAGACAGTAAGAGATTTCAAGTCTGTTTGAACAGTGTCCTGTTTCAAAGTTCAAAGCCTGACTTTGAACTTCTGATCCTCTTGCCTCCACCTTCCAAGGCCCTGGCTGGACGCATCTTGCTCTTTCTGAAGCAAGAGGATGTGATACCGCATGCAAGCGGCACAGGGGAACCTTGCACTCACCTGCACGTAGTCCACGGAGTCGCCCAGTGCCTTGAAAGCCGTGTACATGACCTCGCGCTTGCCGCCCCAGCGCTGTGCCACGCACACGCACCTGCGCGTCCTCACCAAGGCTTCCACCATCAGCCGCCCAGGATCCTCTGCCTCCACCTCACGGTAGACGCCCTCACCCACTGTGCTCTCCGCCTCCGCCGGCTCCCAGGGCTGATGGTAGTTGCCATCCCACACGTAGGTTGCAGGGTCCTCATCTGCGAAGACTTCTCGGAACATGTCCACCATGTACAGGTCCTCGGCACGGTTGCCGTCTACCACCATAAGGACTCGCAGTCGCGAGCGCGGGTAAAGCAGGGCTCGCGCCGAGGTCAAGCACTGGCGCAGGTAGGCGGGGTCCTCCTGGTAGGCGGAGATGGTGAGCGCCACGCTGCGTGCAGTGGCGGCATCCAGGGGTCCTTTCGCCCTGGCCCGCCGCGCAGCCACCGCCACCCTCCGGTGCTCCAGGTAAGCGAAGAGGCTCTGTGCCACTAGGTGAGCACTGAGGAACGCTCCGTAGAGGCCAAAGGCCAGGAGGCCATATGGATCGGAAGCCAACGGTACACCTGCAGCATAGGCCCAGGTCATGAGGCCCAGGATGAGCAGGGCGAAGATGATGGTGAGTATCCGCCTGGCCAGGCCAGAGCAGCGTTGAGCTGCTTCTGAGGGCTTTGGCACGTCCTGTGGGATGTCAATGAGAAGGATCAGCAATGAGGGCCTCCTGGGGTTGATTTTACTCCTGCTACTCTCCCGTCTAAGCTGGATGGTGACACCCCAGAACTTTTCAATGGTATATTTTATATTTTAAAGGTAGATTTGTTTATTTTTATTTTAGGTGTTTCGTCTGCATGTATGTCTGTGCACCTTGTGTCTGGTGCACATGAAAGCCAGAAGAGGGCACTGAATGCCTGGGAGTTGGAGTTACAGGCAATTGTGAAGTCATTTGGTCTCAGGAACAAAACTCAGGACCTCTGCAAGGACAGCAAGTGCTTTTAACTGCAAAGACTAGTAACGTAGGACTTCTTATGACGAGAGCCAGAACACCACATTTGAAGTAATTGTGTCTATTGGCTTAATTCCTGATTTTATTACCCAATCCCCTTTTAGGAGAAAGGGTCTATGTATCCCCAGCTGGTGGAGGCTGGCCAATGCTCCAACCTCAGCCTCCTGAGTGCAGTTTAGAGCCACCAAACCAGGCTTTTACTTGGTGTCTTTTAAAGTAAGTTATTAGGCCTCCCTCTCCCCCAGTTTTAGCATCTCTTACATACAAAAGGATTACACAATTCAACTCCCCAGGCTGTCCCTGTTTTTGTTAGTCGCTCAGTGGGTTAAAGGTGCCTGCCTCCAAGTTTGACAACTGAGTTTGATCCTTGGAACTCAGGATTGAAAGACAAAAATCAACTTGATGTTCTCCGATTAAAACATATGTTTTGGCCTGCCCTCCTCCAAAAAGTAAATTTAAAGATTAGAAAAATGAATAAAGGTTAAGAATAACATCACAAACAAAAGCTTCTTCGTGTCAAAACACGAATACCATCTACTAAATGGTTAATACAAAATGTGTATCAAGTGCCGTTTTAACTCTTTTTCTATGACTTGCTTATTTTGGAGCCTGGCCTAAATGTAGCCAAGGATGACTTTGAACTTCCGATCCTCCTGTCTCAACTTCTGGAGTGCTGGGATGAAAGGCATGCACCACCATGCCCCGTTTATGTGGTGCTGGAGATGGAGCAGTACTAAGGAAGTACTCTGCCAACTGAATTACTTTTCAACCCTACGTAAGTACTCCCTAAGTAATCACTCCCATTTTCCAGGTAGAGCCACGGTCACGGAAATGCAGCAGCTTGAGGTTACACCTGAGATTATGGGACTTGAACCCAGGATTACAGTCACTAATCAGTCCTTCTATGCTGGTTTCCCCGCTCAGGAGGGGCCCCAGTGAGCATTTGCAGTCATGGTATAGATAGCATGACTGATGGTAGTCGGAAGCTTGTGACAGATGAGCAGCCACAGGTGGCAGAATTGCACCTCTGAATTCCCAGAGGCTTGGCCTGTGCCCCTTTTCCATTGTCCAGTTACTTGGCAGCACCATGTGCATTTGCTTGTCTGTGGAGGCTGCAAAGGGTCTCTGTCTTCTCATCCATAAAATGGGTGAATAGCAATTTCCACAACTAGACACAGTTCTACAGCAACCCAATAGGTCTTATTGCTATGTCCCAAAGAGATGAATTCTTTCTCCAAAGGTCACTCAAGTAGTAAGCAGAGGACTTAGGGTTCTAACACAGACAGTCTGGCTCTCATGCTTCCTCTGCTTTAGGCTACCAGCTCCTCCCTTCCGAACTAACTTGTGGGTTCAGGCATCAACGCAGTGCAGTCAACATGGACCACAGCTGAAATGCAGCCGGTATGACCTGTGTGTGAGTTTCTAATCCTGATTTTAGCTTTAATACTAACAGGTTGAGGAGATGGTTCGGCATACACAAAGAAGCTAAGCATCCATCTGTAATTCCAGCACCAGGGAGGCAGACAGGCATATGCCTGGGCCTTGCTGGCCAGTCATTGTAGTTGAGATTGTGAGCTGCAGGTTCACTGGAAACCCTCTCTTAAAAAAATTGAGGGTGGGGAGAAGAGATAGAGGAAGACATCAATGTTGACCTCTGACCTCCACAGGAGTAGGTACAGCCAAGCACACACATACCCAACAAATACACATAGACATTAAAATGATAGGTCTGGTGATGTAGGCCTGTCATCCTGGCTACTTTTGATACTGAATGATATAAAAGGATCTCAAGTTCAAGGACAGCCTGGTTGACTTAGTGAAACCCTCTCAAAATAAAAATAAAGAAGTCAGCAAGATGACTTAGTAGATAAAGTTACTTGCTACCAAGCCTGAGGCCCTCAATTTGATCCCCAAACCTCACATGGAGGAAGGAAAGAACAGACTCTTGCAAGTTGTCCTCTGGCAACACGTATTTGAGCAAACACATACACACATAAATGTTTAAAAAAATGCAAAAAGATGGTGGTTGTAAAGCTCAATGGTGGAACATTTGCCAAGCATGCATAAGACCCTCATTCAATCTCTATCCAGCACTTCATATATGAATACATAATTTAGATACAGAAATTAAGACAAATGCTCCTTTTTTTTCCCATTCAGTTATTGAAAAAATTTTAAGCAAAAACTTTTGAGCAAGTGTGATACATGACTCAAGGTTGAGACTCCTAACAGGGTGGGGGACATAAAGCCTAAAGTGACCACTTCCTGGCCAGGCAGGACTAGTGGATGGAGGGGAACAACAACCCCCCCCCAAAAAAAAAACCCTTTGATCCCTATAATATCCTGCTCATAAGAAGTGTGGGGATAAAGAGGGAACAAAGATTGAGGGAATGCCCAACCAATAACTGGCCCAACCTGAGACCCACCCCACAGTAGAGAGCCAGCCCCTGACACTATTAATGATGTTCTGGCTGTGCTTGCAGAAAAGAGCCTAACTTTACTGTCCTCTGGGAGGCTCCAGCCAGCAGCAGATCAGGACAGATGCTGGGACTTGCATTCAAGCATGGGGTGGGGCTCCAGGGGTCCTCTGGGAGAGTTGAGGGAAAGATGGAAGGACCTGGAGGGGACAGGAACCTCACAAGAAGACCAATAGAGACAACTAACCCAGACCCACGGGGTCTTACAGAGACTGACATCAACTAAGGAGCATGCATGGTCTGGACCTGGGCCCCCTGCACATATGTGGCCGATGGGCTGCTTGGTCTTCATATGGGGTGCCTCGTGATTTAGTGGGTAGGGGCTGTTTAGAACATGGACTCTATTGCCTGCTTTTGGATCACTTTCCCCAGGCAGTGCTACGTTGCCTGGCCTCAGGGGAGAGAATATCCTCAGTCCTGATGTGACTTGAACTGTTGGGAAGAGTTGATTTGGGAGGGGGGGTAGGAAGCTCTCCTTTCTGGGGGAAGGGGGAATGGAAAGGGGCATAAAGGAAACTGGGAGGAGAGGAGGGAGGGGGCACCCTTGGGGTGTAAAGTAAATAAACTGCAATAATTTTTAAAAATACAAAAATCTAACCCCAGATAAATCATTTTCCATATACAATGTTTTTACAACCTCAAGAGACCTCATTAATATTTTGTGTTGGTAAAATATTGAAATGATCACTTTGTTTTCTAGATACAAGGTTACACGGCCTTGACTTCTCTTTGTGTCTGAAAATGGCCTAGGATTCCTCGTCCTTCTAACTCTTGAGTGATGACAGAAGTAAACCACCACTCTCAGTTTATTTGGTGCTGAGATTGAACCTGGGGCTTTGTGCATGCTGAGCGATGGCTCTACCAGCTGAGATACATCTCTAGTCCCTAAAACAATCTTGTTCCAAAAGCATTTGTTTGTTTGTTTATTCATTTGTGTATGTGCATGCACACATGCCAAGGTATATGAGTGGAAGTCAGAAATCACTTCTTTCCTTCTACCATGTCGGGGAACAAACCGAGGTAATCAGATTTTTCAGCAAGTACCATGCTCACTAAGCCATCTCATCAGCCCCAAACAATCATACTTTTAAGTATATGATAATGGTTAGTAAACTAATTCCCATTACAACTTATGAATTAAGATCTTTTTACATTTGCATTTTTTAAAGCTAAAAGGGAAACAAAAATAGTTTACACAGTAGGAAAGTTCAGTTCAAAACTCCAGTGTCCCTAACGTAAGCATGAGGCCACAACAACACACTCCTCATTTACCCACTGTCTTTTCTGATTCTACAGTAGAATGCCAAGGTTGAATAGTTTTGGCAAAGAAAGTAATGTTCTCCAGTGCGCAGATGTTACCGTCTGCTGTTTGGTAGGAAAGTTGGTAGTCATCTCACACACTGGATTGGAGCAAATAAATTACCAAAATTAATTTGTTTTCTTTTTCCTTTAAAAATTACATTTCTTTATTTGTTTATTTTGTGTGTATGTGCAGGATGAGCATGTCACAGTGCATGTGCCACTATGTGTGTGTAGATAGGAGGACAATTGTAAGAATAGATTCTGTCTTTCCACTATACGGGTCTTGGAGACCAAACTCACGTTGTCAGGCTAAGCAGTAAGTATCTTTATCCCCACAGTCTGTTTCTTTTTTTGGGGGGGGCACTCTACTTTTTCAAAAGGATTTAAAAACAATATATTTCAATTTAGTTTATGTTTCTGAACAGTAGAGGAGAGTTAGGGTTTAAAAAAAGAAACAGGGTCTCTCTGTGTTGCCTAGACTGGCCTCAAACTCCTAGACTCAAGCATCCTTTTGTCTCAGCCTGCCAAGTATCTGAGACCTCAGGTAGGTGGTATCCAACTTGAGACAGAACTTTTGCATACTCAGTAACAATTATTCTTTCTTTTAGACTCATTCTGTCTTTTTTCCCCCTCAAACACAGCCCTGCCAGGTACCTAAAATGGATCAGCTTAGAAGAAAGTTTTTGATGCCAGCAATATGGACATCTTCACCTATTGCTGTCTGACAACATTAGGAGCCACACAACTGAAAGCACCATGTTCCACAAGGTGACCACAGAGGTCCTGAGGTGGTCATTCAGGGGACTTAAGGACACAAGGCCTCAGGATCAGAAAGAAACAACACCAAGAATATATAACAATGTGTCAATAAACAGCCAGACAGCCACCGAGGGTCTGGAGTAAAAGAACAGAAACAGAAGGTTTCAGAAGAAATACTGAATGTTTAAAATGAACCAAAGATATCTGGGCATAGGGTCTTTTCTGAGACTGACATGCAACCAAGGACCATGTATGAATGTAACCCAGAACCTCTGCTCAGATGTAGCCTGTGGTAGCTCAGTAACCAATTGGTTTCCCATAGTGAGGGGAACAAGGACTATTTCTAACAGGAACTCAATGGCTGGCTCTTTGGCCTCCCCACTCCCCAAGGGAGGAGCAGTCCTGTTAGGCCACAGAGGAGAGCTTTGCAGCCAGTCCTGAAGATACCTGATAAAACAGGATCAGATGAATGGGGAGGAGGTCCACCTATCAGTGGACTGGCAAGGGGCAGGGTGGAGATGAGGGAGGGAGGGAGGGACTGGGAGGGAATGAGGGATCGGGACACGGCTGGGATACAGAGTTAATAAAATGTAACTGATAAGAAAAAATTAAAATACAAAAAAAAAAAAAAAAGAACCACGACCATACGAAATTGCTATTTTTACAGGTCAAGAGAGGCTGAGTATTGGTGACTGAAGGTAGTTCAACAAATTAGATTCTGAAGCCATAAAATCAAAACCCGGATACATGTGTTATACACGCGCAAAATTTTCTCTCCCTCCTAGGGACATCAACATTCATTTATAGAATCATAGATGTATATGGATGATAAACCGTATGACAATGAGCACAGAGATGGAAACTCACACTCCTTCTAATGTATGTACTGAACACATATCAATACACATGAATTTGTCACTCATACAAGCATATTCTCACTACTACCACATGGTCACACATGTGGTAGTAATTACCCCTCATGGCAGCCGAATCCCCCCCCCACATACATGGACACACACACACATACACACACACACCTGTCTCATTGCTGTGGGTCCTCCTGGAATCTCTCCTCTCCTCTCCGACCTGCTCTGCAATCCGAGTGTGTCTGAAGCTAGCTGGAGGGGGGCCCATTTGAAGACCAACATGTTGCGGGGGTGGAGGAGGGCTGACGTCAGAAAAGCCTGTCCAGGGGCTCTGAGGTCAGACAACCCTATGACTCCACCCTCTTCAATTCCCGACATTACCCTCATCCCCCTCACCAGATAGGACCTCCCTTCCCATCCCTTCAGACTGGCCCTTCACACCCCCTTCTTCCCCAGCTCTTTTACTCTGTTTTCTCTTTCTCCCCTTCTCTCCTGCATTCACAATTTCACTTTTATCTTTCCTTTGTCCCATCTGAATATTCCCTCCCAACTTTTTCCCAGTTCTGTCTTTCCCACCTCCCTCAGATGCCTCCCCTATATTTTGTCTGTATTTCTGTTTCCATCTCTCCCGATTTGTCTTACCCCTTTCTATTACCAACCCCCATCTCTCTATCCCCCTGCCCTGCCCCCACACCTCATTACCTCTTCTTCACTTACCCTCATCTCCCCATATCCTACCCTTTCTCTCCCCAGACTTACTACAAATGGGTTTCCCCCAGAACATAGCTCAGCAACTGGCAGAAAGATAAAGTGTTCACACATGCATGTCTGTGGGTGTGCCTGTGTTGCTGGCATGTGTTTTATAGCAGCCTAGAGCTACAGACAGAGCTGTCTGCTCTTTGCTGGGCTGATGTCTGGGGTGGGGAGAGCGGTACATGGGCACACATGTTCATGACAAGCGGCTGGGGTTGAGGGCAGGGATACTGGAATTTGTCTTCTGGGACTCTTCAGTGACTCCAGAGAGTGGCCTGCGTTCAGTGCTCTGATACACAGCATGGAGACTGGGTGAGAACACAGCTGGGAAGAGATGAGCTTCCCAGGTGTGTATACCCCAGTTCTTCGGGGCCCAAAGTCCTGTAATCATTGTCACTGTTTTATATTCTTTTTGTAAGTTTTTCTTTTTTTCTTTTCACTCTAAGACTATCTTTCTCAAGATCCCTCTCACTGCCATTGAAGGGCAGTGTCCACTCTACTCAGTAACTGTCTCTTCCTGCATCCTCCTATGAGAGGGACCCTGATAAAACTTAGATTCTTTTTCTCTCATTTTGAACTTGGTGCCCTGACTCTATTTCTCTACCCATCTGTATTCCCATTTCTAACTCTCTTTCTTCTCCTCCTCCCCTATTTCATGTCTATTATCAATTATCATCTCTCATCGACTACGGATCTGCAATCATCTATCTATACCACTATCTGTCTGTGTCTCTAGCTGTCATCTGCCTGCCAGCCTGCCTGTCTCTTTGTGATACTCTCTCACTCGCCCCTTCCAGCCTGACTTTTAGGTCTCATTTCTCAGTTTTTTCCTTTCTCTTCTACCCATTGAGCACTGTCCTGGACAGAGCCAGGGGAGGTGTAGGTGCAGTAGGAAGTTGGGCCTTTGCTCAACCCTGGCCAATGGGAAAAAGATCTCTGGCGGTGGGAACCTGGGCACCGCCCACCCATCAGGGCTGGGCAGGCTGTGTCTGACACTACTGCTGGGAGCCTGTGATGCCTAGTGTTTGGCTGTGTCAGGATAATGGAGGCAAGCCCAGAGCAGAGGATAAGGGGAGTTCCTGTGGCTAGAAGGGGATAGCCCAAGCTCCACCCAAGAGCTGGACATTTGACTGCTGAGCTTCAACACCACCCTTACTGGGTGGAGCAGCTGTATAAAACCAGATGTTTCTAAAACCAGAGTTCGTGAGAGACGGACCAGGACTCCAAACCCCAGGGGTTTTCTCTGCCAGGACATCAGAGACCAGGACACAGACTCTTCCTTCAGACCCAGGTGTCCAGTCCTCAGTCCTCTTCTGTTAGATTCAGGGGCACAGAAGAGATTCTAGCTTTCTTCCCTCAGATCCAGAATTTCAGACCCCAGCCTTCCTCCTTCAGACCTGGAGGTCCAGTATTCAGACTCCACCTTTAGACTCAGTAAGACATTAGCCCTTCTCTCTCAGAAATCAAGTACAGACCTAACCATCCTCTGTCAGCCACAATGTCCAGTCTTTTATAATTCCTTGCAAGCACAGCTGACCAGACTGAATGCAGCAATGACAAGATGACAAGGACAGAAAAAGCTAATGGTGACTTATAACTAGTGCCTGTCCGAGTCTACAGTACCCTTCAGATAGGATCATCATTTAACTTCATCATGTGGACAGGAGAGAAGGGTAAGGGTGATAGCTCAAAATGGAGAAGCAGAGGAAAAGCATGTATTCATTATGAGACACCTCTTGAGTTGGTGATGGGTGGAGCCCTGGACTAAGTGATGCCAGGCACACAGAAATGACTCAGCAGGCAGCCCTGCCTCTGAGGAGATGCCAATGGGATAGAGGAGACAGCTGTGTAAACAGAGGATTGGGCACTGGTAGAGTAATGGTTTGACCCAAGGGAAAGGCAGGAAGGGCTTCCTGGAGGAGATGCTCCTGACTGATGAGTTAGAAGTGTGGAAAGTGAAGAAGGAGAAAGGTATTCAAGGCAAAGAATGTTTGCAAACCCACACTGAATGGTGCTGTGGAAGCAGGAAGGAGTTGGGAAGTGAGGTCAGTAATGAGACAGATAAAGGCAAAATTACTTTAAATGATTTGAGAGGATGGACAGATGGCTTAGTGATTATGAGCGCTTGATGCTTTTGCAGAGGACCTTGCCCAAGGACTCCTGTCAGTTCCTTTACAACTGCCTGTAGCTCCAGCTCTGGGGTTTCTGATGCCTTCTGTCCTCTGTGGACATCGGCACACAGACAACCTACACATAAAAATAAAATAATTTTTTTAAAAATTGGGGTAGGGGTGGCTGTAGAGATGACTCAGTGGTAATAGTACTTGCTACTCTTTCAGAGGACCTGGGTTCAGTTTCCAGCATTTCCATGGTGGCTCACAATTGCCTGACTTGAGGTCCAGTGGATCTAATTCCCTCTTCTGAACCTCTTTGTGTACGGCATGTACATTATGCACAGCCTATATGCAAGCAAAACAGAGGTGAACTAAATAAATAAATCTTTAAAATAACTTTTAATTGAAATCAAAACTTATATATACAGGGTGAGGATGTAGCTCAGTTGGTAGAATGATTGTCTAGCATGCATTAGACTGTGTGTTTGATCTTTAGCACTATATACCCTGGGTATGGTGGTTCATGCCTGCAATCTCAGCACTTGGGAAATGGAGGCTGGAGTGTCAGAAGTTGATGGTTATCTTAGACGACAAAATGAATTTAATATCATCCTGGGTTACATCAGATTCTGTCTTTTGCAAAAATAAATAAATGGGGTTAGATGAGACAGTTAGGTGTGTAAAAACACTTTCCAGTAAGCCTGAAAACCTGAATTCACTCTCCAGAATCCACACGGTGTGGGGAGAGAACAGACTCCTGCAATCACTAAAATAAACGAAATAAAAATCTGAAAACAGACCCATGAGGTGCAGCCAGGCAAGACACCCAGAGGCCTTCCCACAGTGGGAGCCACTATGAAGCAAGTATGTGGTGGATAGATGGGAGAAAAAGAGAAGCAGAATGATTTGAGCACTGTGAATAGAGTCAGAACTGGACATGAGAGGATGAAGAGGAACAGCCTGATGTGTTCTACAGCTTGAGGACATGGTGAAGCACAGGCTTGTGCTGCCAATGGGGACCAAATCTGAGTTCATGGCCTTGCAACAGCAAGGGTCAGTGTGTGGCTCCTATTACCACCTAAGTCCTTGGGGACTTTCCTGATCTGGCCTGCCCCTGGAGTCCATGTTGGTATCCATGCATGCTGTGCAGAGCTGGCCTTGCCTCTTGGCCTTGCCAGGTGCTGTAGTGAGTATACAGAACTGGCTTCACCCCTCGAAAGCTGCAGCATTTGGAGGAGCCAGTTCTGTTCTTAGCCTGGACAGCAAATACCTCATCTGTTGTGTGGTGGCATGGGCAAGGGAGAGATACCTTCCCTCTGCTCCAGTGGGAGAGCTGGCCCCACCCCTTGCCTGCTGCAGCACTCTGGAGAAAGTGGTCCTGCATCACCCATGGGAAACACTATAGAGCTGGCTCCTGAGGGCACAAGAGTTGGAGAGCTAGCCCCTCCTGCTCCTTGCCAGATGAAGCATCAAGCCAGCTAGCCTAGGCAGAACTGGAGGCTCTCCCTGGTGGTGTGGTGTATTAGGTCCAGATCCAGGGCTTTGGTTGGCCCACCCCAACATCTACGCCATCTATGAACTGCTGGAATTTGTGAAGGGGCTGATCCTGCAGACCCAAAGCTGCAGGATCTCCATGACAAAGGACAACAACAGGATAACTAAGAGGGGTCTGGGTAAGGATCCAGTATTGATAGTGTAGCAGAAGTCAGTGTCCTTGAGCCAGACCGATGACTTATTGCAATGAACATTTGCAAGTAAAGATGTGTGAACAAAAGGGTATTCTGTGGGACACATTGTGACACACTAGAGCATCCACAATGAGATGTTTTCATTTTATTATTTATTTCTATATTTATTTCTATATTTATTTATTTATTTATTTGTGGAGAAGGTTACAAGAGCAGAGGTTTGATACAAAGGAACAAGGAGATGAGTAGGATTGGGTTCATGATATAACATTTACAAAGAATCCATAAAAGTGTTTTTAAAAAGCATGGAAAAGATTAAATTGTTTCGTACATTCAAGAATACATCATTCTTTATATATGGCAAAAATCAAACGATTATAGTGTGTACAATATACAGAGGTTTGAATGGCAGACTCAAGGGCTATATTCTGTCTTGGAGGTACTAGGGAACTACAGGAGAGCTGGGAGCTGGGGAGATAAAGGATCAGCTCTGGGTCTATGTGAATTCAAAAGTAGGCAGAGAGAGAAGGGGTTCTTGGCCAGTGGGGGAGCCATGTCAGAGATTCCAGAACTGATTTTAGGCTAGGGTTTGTTGGCTGAATATGAGCTTGCAAAGAGTTGAAGTTTTGGAGCTGGTGGAACTCCAGGTAAATATGAATGAGGATGGATAGAG